CGAGTGGGACGTTGCTGCCTTTGCCATATTCTTCATCTTTGTGGGTAAGTGCATAGCTCAGCACGAGGCATGCACTAGACAGCTTCTCTTGGTGCTGGGCTTGGCAGGCAGCTGCCCTAATCTCAGAAATTTATGCAGCCCCCTGCAGCGGCACAGCCCTGGAGGAAGAATGGCAAGAGTGCAGCCACTCCATTTACATCCAGCAGACAAGGGCAGCAACAGCAGCAGGCTCAGAGGAAACATTCCCTGCGTAACCTCCTCTAGTTGCAAGACCACTTTCATAACCATGCCACCACCTTGCCTAACACTGGCACAGTTCGACCAGCCTAGGCTCACATGGTGTTTGTGGGGTTGTCACGCCCTGTGTGATGTACAGCACTTCACACAAAGTGCTGTGATGCTAACAGGGGAAAAAGGGGAGCAGACAGCCAAGAGGGTACTTGCTGAAAGACAGGGTGCTGTCAGGGAGACATAGAGGCTGATGCTGCTGTAATTGCTCACTTTTCTCCAGGGACTGTGCTTCTGCTGCTGCTCCTGGTGCTTTGCTGCTGCAACTGTGACTACCCAGAACAACGCAAGGTGATAAAACCCAGCCCGCTCACCCAAGAATGACTTGGGACACACAGGAGCTCCCAAGGCAGTATCTGTGTTGCTTGTTGAAATGGGCAGAGGGGGGAAAGGGGTAGGGGAGGAAAGCAGGCAGAGCACTAGACAGACCCTGCTCTCCCCTGCAGAGACACACTCATGTCTTAGGAGAAATACAGCCCAGCCACCAAGGGGGAGACGTTCACACAGGGAAGGTGACGGGGAAGAGAGAACAGGCTGGATGTGCTTGAGCAGGCAGAGACGTGCCCAGGACCTCTGCACTGTTCTGGGGGAGGGAAGTGGTACCTGTGCTTGAGCACGGACAAAGCATAGATACTATTTTAATTTGTGTGTTCATGCATGTGCAAACTCCTTCCTCACCTCTTTACAATGACACATCTTTTTCCAAAACAACTAGATTCCCAGAAGGAAAGTGGGCATAGATAACCTGGCAATGCAGCCCTAAACCCCCCTCTACCTCATGGCTGGACAGAATGACTCTTCCTGCTTTCTTCCCTTGGCTGCACCTACAAATCAGACTCTATCTTCACCTTGACTGTCAAGAGCTGCTCAGCCACTTCCATCCTCTACAACCTCAGTGACAGCTCTTCCTATTCTCTATATGTGCGTGGATGAATGTGAACCCCTTGCACAGTACCTGCGATGCCATCCTAGGCCAATACACCCACTTGAGTCAGTCCACCCCACAATCCCCATAAGATACAGTACCTTAATGCAGACTTTTCAGCTACAAGCCAGTGAACTCCTCAGCTACTGCAGCCAAAGTGGAGAACGGGTGCTCCCCCATGCAGAGCCAGCAGCCATGGGAACCGCCAGGGAGTGAGGGCAAGGAGAAAGCAGGAGAAACTGTTTCCCTCTAACTAGAAGCTGGAATCCTCTGCCAAGCTCACACTTGCTGATCACCAAAACATGCTGTGGAGCATCCTCACACTAAGATCCCTTCTGGGATGGCTGAATGAGAGGCCCAGCTATGCTTCTTTTCAGGGTTTTGGGCTCCAGCCCTTCCATTACAGGCTTAATTTCCAGCAGGACTGAAAGCAAAGCATAGCACTGTCCCTGGCTGTGAATATCCATTAAAAGAGGCAGCACAAGGCTCTAAAGATGCTTCAAAGCACAGCCACAGCTTCTGGGAACCTTTTTAGTCCCTGTAGAGACATTTGGAGCATGTCATTAGTGAGCCAGCTTCCTTTATGTGCTGCATCAACTTTAGAAACACTTTGCCTCACTCTTCCTAGGGGACACAAAAGCACGTGAAGATGAAACTGCTCTGTGCAAGGGAGCAGTGGCTACCTCCTCCCTATGGCCTTTGCAGAGGATGCTTGGGGCACCAAAGAGAAAGCTTGTTCTTCATCCTGAAGATTAACAATGCCTCCAATTTGAAAAGCATCATCCCCTTACCTAGCATCCTTACAGTCCCAGGTGGAGCCAGATTTTCAACTGGTATAGTCCCTCTGCTTTAGGGTGATACTCTGTGTCCTCATAGGTGATACCATGATGGGGCAGGGTGACCCTTTTTGCTGGGGCACATACAGAACAAGAAACGTCCGATTCTGTCCTGAGAACACTGACTCCAGAAGGTGGCACCCCAAAAGGCAGCCAAGCACCTACTCATGAATGGGAGTGGTGGTACATGCCCTTCAATATTTCCACCATAGCCTGAAGGCAGGATGAGGCCAGGGATGTCAGGTGCAATTCCAAGCAAGTCCTGGCAGTGGCAATACTTGAGCAGACTGGCATCAGCACACACAGATACCTGCAGTTTCAACTCCAATTCCAGGAAAAAGTGAGCTATCTTTACAAACATTTAGCCTTAGCTGAGCTCAGCAAGGAGACGGTCTTGTCTGCTCAGTGCTGAGATGCTGGGAAGAGTAGCATGGGATTCTGCTTGCTGTCTGTCACTACTCTGTGGACAATGGCAGAAATAGCTGCTCAGATTGGGATAGACTAGAGGCAGCCATAAAATAAACTTTCTTCATTACTCTCTTAGTCTGTGGTTCTGCTCTGTCATTAGCCTGTCGCAGTGCTGTTGTTGAAAGTTGCCCAGCAAATGTCTTCTCCACTTAGTTCAGGCAACTCTAATTCCTTTTCAAAGGGCATGTAGAAGCTCAGCAGCAGAGGCGCATGGATCAGTGTCTTCTGTGCTACCAGAACCAGCAGCAACTCAATTGCTAGACCCATCAAAAGCAGGCAGCCAGTGCATCTAAGCAGCAGACCTCTATCTCCTTAAGACTAAATAGATTTCCTGGGCAAAAGGGAAAAAGAAAGGTGCCACCAGGAAACGTTTTGCTCATGAGTACTACAGCTTCCCTAAAGGAAGCTAGAAAAAGAGAATAAAAACCCAGACCAGGAAAAGGCAGACAGTCTGATTATTTCATTCTGCTCCAGTCACACAGCAGCGTTCATCAGTGCATGTACCAATCAAGAGCCCTTGCAGTATTGCAGAGCAGCCCAAACTTCACGCACACCTTGGGCTGCCAAAGATTGTGGCCCACAGCACATCTGAGTTGCATCTGCAAAGGGCGAGGTGGGCTGCCCATAGCTATCCCAGCACCAACCTCACTGGGCTGAAAAGTAGAGCCCTTAGGGCCTTGTAAATTGTCTTCTGTGCTCAGAGGTTTAGTGGGGAAAAGAGATAGACTGTTAAGTCTTTTAATTGGTGGACCCTTGTTTTATCTTTCAAATCACAGGGTACCAGCCCAGGGCTTTGGGCCAGCCTCTCCTGTTGAATCCCACCTACCTTGCTGTTACCCTGTTCTTCTGTAACAGTAATCTAGGCAGTGTCCTGTAGCAGCTACCACTGCCACCTAGCAGTGCTCATGACACAGCCACCGTATATCAGAGCTGGAATCAGGACAAGTATTCCATTTTGCACACTCCTGCCCTTCAGAACCAAAGAAGACTATTTTAATCAGAAGAAAACAACACACACTGGGTTGCATGTTATATCCCTATCAGCAGGAAGCTGAGATGTAGAGGATGTAGCAACATTGATTGGACTGCACACAGTGGTGTGAATTAAAAAAGGAGCCTCCTCCACACACAGGGAGGGCTAAAGAGCACAGACAGCTCCAGCGAGGTTATTAACCATAAAAATACTCTAATCCGAAAAGCTTTTAATGGTGAGCAGTTCCACACATGCGCAACCACTTTCTAAGCAGAGAATAGTCTGGAACAGAGCAACGGTTGGTAAATGCATACTCAAGGTCATGACCGCAGCTAGTCATAAGGCTAACTAACTGGAATCGGTAATGGGTCTGCTATTGCATCAGCCCATCCAGCCCTCTCTACCTTCCACTTTTCATTGCTTACTAACAAACACATTCATCAGTCACAGCCTGATACTCATTTGTAGGCTCAGTTATTGCCTGCAACCTGTATTATTAGCATGCATTAGACCAAGCACAGCACCAAGTGTCAAGTCCTCAGACAAGGAGGCTGCAGCAGTAACAAGGCTGGCACTAACCCACTCAGGATCCCAGGGATCTCACAAAGGGACAGAAAGGGAGGTTGCAGACAAGGTAGTCCACATACGCTCAGAGCAGAGGTCTATGCAGGGGAAAAAACCAAACCAAAACAGAGCAACATCCCTATCTCTAGTCTCCATCCTTGGAGCTATTCAAAAGCCATCTGGACGTGGTCCTGAGAGACCAGCTTTGGGTGGCCCTGCTTGAGCAGGGGAACTGGACCAGATGGACTCCAGAGGTCCCCTTCCAACATCAACCATTCTGTGATCTCTTTCTTTTGAGCACAGCACTCTGGAGAGCACTTGGAAAACACCAGGATCCTGGTGTTTACCAACCATGCTGTCAAGATAGGCTCCAACGGCCCTGACGTTTTGTAGGGACCTTGGTGAGCCTGCAGTCTTCACTTCAGCACATGTGTAGGCTCCTGGGTAAGGTACTCCAGTGAGGAAAGGCACCAGAAACACAGGCGGGACAGGGCTAGTTGGAGCCAAGCAGGAGACAGGTGATGCTTCCACATAACTTAACTGCCAGCTCCATGAGCAAACCCAACCCAGCCTCAGTACCTACAGCCTCTTCCAAACATTACCATCAAGGGAAATTTGGAAAAGTGCTTCAGGTAGTACTTGGGTGTCAGACGGCACTGAGCTGAGGCTACACAAACCAGGCCCAGCCTTCAAGGAACTGCCCAGAGACCGCTACTGTCCTCCCAGTAAGGCAAACCATAATCCAGCATGCATAACTAAGAACAGCCACTCACTTGTAAGAGAGCACATAATCTTTGATACTCTTTTATTCTCAGCACTGACAGCCCATAGGAGCATGGCAGGTCTGAGGATCTTTATTTCACAGTTATCAATGGCTAGAGGGATGAGTTACATACTGTAGCATCCATAGGTAGGCAGCAAATCAAAGTAACAACGTAGTACTCACTTTGGGTTTAATGACAGGATGTGAGACTGCACAGTTGTGCTCAAGGTACCGAGGCAGCTCCAAAGGCTGGCAGTGAAAACAAGATACTAAACCTGGAAAAAACCAATTGGCCCAACTAGGGCTTCAGAAAAAAAAAAAAATTTATTATCACATTGATGCCAGGGAAAAAAAAGAGTTCAAACAGCAGCAAGTAAGAATATCCCCAAAGGGGAATCAATAACGTGGGCATGGACAGAACAGATAGGAAAGGGAGAAGCTCAGGGCTAGTTATAACCACAGCTGGACCAGATCACAACATATTTCACTACATGGAGCAACATGCCCTACACTTTTTGTGGTGTGTTAAATTAGTCTGTCTTCATCCCTTCCCAGCCAGCTCACAGTCCAGCAGTTAGTTACAGCACTGTGTGCAAATACAGTTAGTGAGAGTAGTCCACAACTCTCCATGCCTTGTAATGGACTAGTGTAACTCATCACAGGCTTGGAAAGTGTAAGCCACACAAAGCACACAAGAACAAAGACAGGTGGAAGCTTTCACCAACCACACAGCATTGCTTGGTGCCCTGCTTATGCAGCAGTCCCAGACAAGCCTACTGAAATTGTGTCTCTGAATACACTGACCCTACCCTACAGAGGGCCACATGGTAGCGAACCACAGCGCTCCTCAGGCTGACCTGGACTCAGCTGGCACGTTGAAAACAAAAAGAGAGACACTGGAAGTACTGTAAGGTCTTGGACACTCCACAGAGAATTAATATGGCCTGTAGTTCCAGTAACTGGAGAAAACAGATATCTGGAAAGCAAGAAGAAAAGAAGGTAAGTTCCTGTATCCCTTGGGCCATAGAAGAAAGAGCATATAATATGTGTGTGAAGATTGAGCTGTACAGCATTAAACACTCCACCACTGCACTGCACAAGGGCAGATTTGCTGCTATTGTCACTGAAGAGGCTTGGAGCACAAAGTTACTTGCTCAAGGCGGCAGCCAGGTGCAGAGCTGGAACTGAATGCTGGTCTACTGCAATCTATTTCGCTGAAGTCTCCATACCTCTTCTCCAGTACCCTGGCATTTCCTCACATCCAGCTCGTGACTGAGAGCACAAAAGTGTCTACCTCCTCCTCTCCATCAGGTCACTAGTTCAGCAAAGACTTCTGCCACACTACTACACTTATCCCAGATGGCTGTCTGCTAGGCAGTGCAGCCAGCTCCCTTGCTCCAAAACATTGACTCATCCCTTGTTTTCAGTTTATACGTAAGTTGTACAGAATAACACCACATCAGATTTTTAGGAGATCTGATGTCCTCTCAAAATCCAGAGTTAAAAACAAAGGCCCTTCTCTAAGGCCATTACCTTATCCTTCAGTTGCTGGCAAAGCTGCAGTGAAACTGTGAAGAAGACAAGGGCATCATTTAACCATGGTACAACACATTCCACTTTATGGACATGGCTGACTTCATACCGCTGGTTGCCAAACTCACTGGAGTGGGGGAAAAAAAAAAGAGCACAGCTTCACACACAACAGCACAGAATACAAAACTCAACTGTCCTCCATTCTCACAGAAGAGATCATTATGATTTCTATTGCATTTAAAACAGCACCTAGTAAAGTTATACAATGCAAACTCTTAGTCTACCTCTGATTAGCTTCAGAGTTAAGCTAAATCTAATAGGTAGAAACTTCACCACTTTTCAGAGAGGCGCAAAGGCGGGACATGCAGATGGCAATGCCAATAACCTAATGTTCATTTTGGCTGACAACTCTCATCTCTAGACAAACTCATGGCACTGCATGGGTGGGCTGTATCCTGAAAAGTCACATCTTTGGGCCTTTATGACCAAGTCATTAAAGAAACACTATTATGGGCACCTGTGCATTCACAGCCACAGTTAAGTGGCTCAGTCCAGCTTCTCCACTTAACAGATGCTACAATCAAAATGTGTACAGCCATTTGGATCTCATCCTCAGCATACACCTACACCTGTTACACAGCCCTTGTAGTGACTGTACTTACAACATGGCTCCAGGGTTGTGTAAAATGGATCCTCCAGCAGGCTTGAAGTTCTAGAGGAGAAAGAAAAAGCCATTAGGATTTTGACACAGTAAACAAACTACTTAGAAGGAGGATGTTTAAGGTTTGCACTTTTAATAGCCTGACATCAAGAAATGCCTATCCTGTATCTGCCTGAATACTCCATTCATATGGAATCTATGTCATTTGATCCCTTCCTGCTCCTTCATGAAAAAAATTCTACACAGCAGCTCAGTCCAACTTGGCTCCAAATTTTAGCACCACAAAAATAAGATGAGGATATCAGGAAGAAAAACAAAAAATAGATTTTGGGAAAAATATCCTTGTGGAAGGACTGCATTTCATAAAGTATAAGAGTTTAATTCTGTTTTCAAAGGATATCAAGCTGACCTGAATGCAACAGGAGAAGCAGAAACATATCCATCAAAACTCCATCTAGAAAACCCAAGATAGCTACTTTGATGTAAACTGGATTAATACAATTATGCCCTTCCAAAATTACGCAAAATTATCAAACTATATTGTATGATAAAGCATTACTTGGCAAAAATAGTTAATGGCTTTCTCGAGAGCACTGGTATTTTCTTCTGTGCTATGTGGCCATGCCCCAAATTAGATTTAGAGCCAGTGTTCTGTCTGCAGCAGACTAAACACAGACACTTAACACCAGCTACGGTCATTTCTGCATTATCTTATGCATATAACATTGCACTACATAGTAGTGTGATCTCCTCCTCACAGTGCAAGGCAGGGAGAGGTAAATAAACAAGGCTCAAGAGATAGCAGGCGTCACCTTGGTTGTGCTGGGCTGCAGCACATGGAGTTGGTAGACAGTCAGGCACAGCTTATTCAGGTTAATATAGAAATTCACAAGGATGTCTGGAGGCAGAGCAGGGGTGAACATTTTCTGGTGAGAAAATAAGTAGTTTCTTTGTCAGTGGAAGGACCATTATTTCTAATGGTGGCAAATCACTACATTTTTCTAAGCCATACATTTTTCTAAGCCATACATTTTTCTAAGCCATACATTTTTCTAAGCAATTACCCCATAGCGAGAGGGACATTAGAAAAGAAACAAAGACTGAGCAGCTTGCAGGCAATGGTTCTTCCTCTTGCTGCACTTGATCAAATGGTGCATTGCACGATGGTGACAAAAGAGGATGGAGCAGTGTTCACAAGGGCAAATCATCCCTGGACAAGATTCCTGGGCAGAGAACAGAACTTACCCTCTGAGAACCAGAGTCTTTATGCCCAAGTCATCTGCTTTCCCACAGGAAGATACAGAGCACCCCAAAACGCTCAGGGTTTGCACCTACTTCAGCTCTCTCTTTCGGCCTCAGGAGACACTTCAGAAATCCACTTCCACCAGGATGTAGCACAATATCCTAACTGTTGCATGCTGCCAGACTGTATGGAGATCTAGACCACCACATACTTACAGTGAGACCACTGGAGGCAATCTCTGGTAGAGTCAAAGTGGCTGGAGTGGTAAGCCGATTTCGGGCTCTTGAGAGCTGTAACATCACAGCATCCATAAGCTACAAGATAACGTACAGTACGCTGCTGAGTGGCAATCCCTGGACAGCTCTGGATAGTGTGCTGCAGCATCCTACAGCCTTTTGCAGGTGTTACAACACTCCAACCCCCACCACCCCTCCCTCACCCTTCCAGGGATTCAGGGACTTACTGGGAAGGGGTGGCTCCCACATAAATGCAGTTTAACTGTTACCACCATCATAGACACTTGTGAGACAGGCCAGGAGTTTTTATTACCAGAGACTGAAGAGAGAACAGCTATTCATTAGAGGAGTAAGAAGAGAACATGAGATCAATTACTGATGCCCCAGAAGTATTGACAAACTCATCATCAGCTCTGCTGAAGAGCAGGCATTAGGGAAAACAACAAGCTGTTTTCTAGTTGTCCCCATTCCCACATCACAGGTACAACAGCTGGTGAATGAGACCCCCTGTTCATAACTATCTATGAGCTAGGGCACTAGAGAAAAGAACCAGCTCATTGAGTCCAATCCTGCCAGAAACCACAGTTCAGAGGCTCTATGCGGGCAGACTTCCTTTTCCAGAAAAAACTGGGAAGCAACATATGTCTGTTATAGAGCCCATGACTGCTAAGATGAAGGCATTTTCTATTATGACTAATTTCTCCCCCCTACTTCCACCTGAAAGTAAAAAGGAAATAGTTTCATTACCTAGCTTCTTCCTATTAGCAGCCCTTGCCAATGTGGAGACTTAAAAGGTTTAGCTTTCTCATGTTCAATATTGTGATGGATTCTAATGAGTAAGTTGAAACAATAGTGGCTTCAGAGAGCGTTTCCAAGCAGAGGGCTGGGCTTTACTGTCATGCAGCAGCTGGTCTGTATCAGACTGCATCAACTACTGCTTGCAAGTGAGAAGTCACTTTCAAATCGTCAGTAAATCATGACTACTAACTGTAATCTCTTGTTTGCTGATGACTGCCTCATTTCTTCTCTTGCCAAAAGCACTGACAGGGAAGAGCATGAGCTGAGTAACCACATCAACCAAAAAAGATCAAGGGAGATGCTCCCAGAACATCACTGCTGTGCAACAGGGCACCGACTGCTCAGATTACCATTCACCATGATGTACCACCCTGTTACTGATGCTAAACTGGTATAGATTCATATCAAATATGAGGTCACATGGATACTCCTTGACACAGGTACATATGGTTACAACTGGAGAATCCATTTCCAGTAAGAGACTCAAGGCTGTAATGTGCATTAACTGTGTTTAAAACAACAAACGGAGGGAAGAAAAATGCATTTTCCTACCTAAATAGAGAGGGCTTTCTCCTCACCTTGAGAACTTCCGAGCCTGTTTTGAACTGGTAGTTTACGTCTCTGTTCATAAGCAGGTAAATGGCTTGGTTAACATGGTTTCTAGCATCCTGGATCTGCAAAGGTACAAATGCAACTCTATTAAAGAAACACTCTCTATAATACACACTAGGAAGTAGAGGTTTCCCTGATTATCTCATTGGCCCTAAGAAAATGGTGACTTCTCAAATGTTAAGGCCATTTCTCTCTGAGTACCAGACACTCGCTAACACAAATCTACCATTGCTGCCCAGATGCATTATTGGGTTCTTCACTCAAGGACTGGAGATGCAGAACAGTCTGATAGCTACAACCTGGATTGTCAATAAAAATATTGCTGCTGCCCTGAAGGAAGAGTGACATCAGGCACTCTCATGCTGGGAGGGCGCTGATCATGACTGTTCAGGTAGGAATCCTCACTGTTGATGGTATACGGCAGTCAGGTCTACAACACGAATAATGATTTCTTCCTTAGGAACTATTAGAACTAAAACCAATGATATAAATTACATCAATAGCAGCAGTGAGCAGCAAACATTGATTCCTAATATAGTGTCTCTGGCAATTTTCCAGAGTCCTTCTAAACTATAATTGTTGGGGTTGACAGTTATCTCCAGCATCAAGAAGCTGCCATTGTGCTGCTTGTGTGGAACTTGACCAGACTCAGGACACAGCTGGCTTGTCTCAGGCAAGACCGCTTGCAGCCAGGAGACAATTATCAAAGCGAGGTCAATAGGTGTATCCCAGTGTTTTCATGGGAGCAAGGACAAAGCAGAGGAAGAAGAAAATGGCCCTCAGAGAAAGTGACTTGTGTTCAGTTCCAGGCAGCAGCAGGAAAATTGTAAAAAAGCAAAGGGGTAAATCAGAGGGTGCAATAAACAGAAAAGGTAAGCAGGGAAGCCTGTATGAGAGGTGGCTGCTGGGAGATGGATAACACAGCTTGGGATATTTGTAGTTCAATACATCTACACTGCTCCCCAGCAATCCCAAATCCCAGCTCAGCCTTGTAGAGGCCTCCCTGGCATAGATCTGGACACTGGTTCCTTCTCATCCGGAGCTCAGGGATCACAGAATAGCCCTGCTCTTAGAAAACACAAGGCACTGGAGGCTACAGAGAGAAGAGAGATATGATAAAGTCCACTGTCAGACTGCAGAGAGATTCTGCAGGTACTTGGGCTATGGCATCTCCAAACATCACCACTTCCAGCCTTTACATCTCCCAGATGCTTTCAAGCAAGCTAAGTTACCCTGGCAGTGTTACCCAGTCCCACAATGCCAATCCCGTTATTATGAGGACTTGCTTCATTCCTATTCCCCCTTGATTTTGCTCTGTTTTCTAATCAAGTTCTTTGAAACTTGCGTGCCTGCACTTGTGTTCCTCAAAAATGTCCCTATAGTACAATTTCTTACCGATGACTTTACTTTGCATAGAGAAACAAAACTCCAGCTGGCACCACTCACTAAGGGAAGAAACTCACAATACCTTGAGATACTCATTTTTAATTCAGACAGGACAAAGATCTCCACATAATCACTGTAAATGCTTCTGCACAGGGTCCTTTAGGCACTCACATTCCACATCTGAACATTAGAACACAAATCTCTTGCAAGTAAATAAAGGTGTTTTCCATAAAAGCTGGTAAAAGCCTATCAACCAGGCAGCAGTAGAAAACAGCCACAAAATAGGATGCACCGCTGAGTGTTAACACAAAAACTTTCTTGCCTTGTTGCGAGGCATAAACAAACTCAGTCAAGTTTGGCGTTAACATCTCAAGTACACAATTTTCTAGATTTCTACAAAGTTACTGGGTAGAGCTTTCACTCCGCTGCCAAAGCGGCCACTGGAAACTGCACTCAATACCAAATGCGCTGATCACCTAGAAAAAGCTGAGCCATGACATAGTGAAGCACATGGAATACATCTTTCTCCAACCTACTCAGCTATGACAAAGTAACTGTGAGAAACTATGTCTTCAAGATCAGGCACTAGATCAGGTCCTGAAACCAGGTATTTCAGAGCAAAATGTTGGGAAAGAGACTGAATGTTCCGGACAGCCAAATCCCTTTTAACTCCTTAACGGAGGGAACTTGGCTATGCTACAAGAGCACAATGTGATGGGATTTGTTCAGCATAAAGAAATGCTTCCATAAGAGAATGAAAGCAAGCTACAAAAAGCCTCTGAAGTTGCTCTTTGCCCTGCTAGCCTGGGTTTTACAAGCAGACACAAGGCCAGTACTGCACAGGCACCCTAGGCACTCCTTTTAAAGGATTATGACTGCTATGCAGACAGCCTTCAGCTCGCTGGTGTTTCAGGAACAAGCAGAATCCACCTCTCTCTCCTAACACCATAACTGCATTTAACTGCATCTGTTTCCTCCTTTAGCTTTTACCAGTGGAGCTAATGTGGGATGGACATAACCTTCTCTCTCAGAAAGCGAGTGGCTACAGCTACTGCTTGGAGGGCGCAGATGCTACAGAGGGGTAGGCATCTAAAGTACCTGCTGCAATTTCCACTGCTTGTCTTCCCGAAATGCGAAGTGCAGGAGCTGATTATTTCTGGGCATTTTCAGATTAACGTCCTTGAAGAAGGAAACAAACACATGAGAGCAAGCAGAACACGGAGACTGCCAGTCCCACTCCATTCTGTCTCCCAGACCATCTCGGCAAGCTGCTTTCAGCAGTCCTGGCGTGGCCAGAACTTCAGTCCTCCTACAGGAACGTGTTAATACAAAGGATAAATTGAAAGGCATTTAGTGAATTGAGATCCAGGCAAGACACATGACCTCATCTCAGAAGTCCCCCAGGGAAATTTGATCTTGCACAACAAAGGCATTAAAGGCAAGGAATCCCCATGAAAATCGACTCCACCACTCACCGCAGAGAGTGGCGGGGGCGGGTGTTAGATGCTGGATGTTGACAAATTTTAACAGTTGCTGAAACATTAAGGATTTAAGGCCTACTAAGGAAGACTGATAAAGCATAATAAGGATGACCTCTCCCTTGAGGTCATCAAAGTGCAATAAGGATGACTCCCACCCCTTGATGGTAGTACAAAGCAAGAAGCAGCAGCACGGCTAGTACTCACAGCTTGACACAGGGCATCTCCCTGCAGCGTCAACACACCTTTCACCTGGTCTGTGCTGGAATGAGAAGAAAGAGCTGGGCAACACAAGTCACAGGAGGCAAGAGACACCTACTGAAACTGCCAACCCAACACCATCCCTCCCTGTATCATGAAGCTAGCCCAGTTTCCTTCCTTCCAAGGGTCAGCTGGGGGATGCAGATGAACACACACTTTCAAGTCCTCCGCTCTTGGCCTGCAGCCAGCTGCTGTCATATTCTTCAGGAGCCACCTCACCCTAACTGCCCTGACTAAAATGTTACTTTCATTTCTGATCCCATGCTTATTTCATGTATTACTTATCAACAATTTGGTTGCTGTTACAAACAGCTCTAGCAGGCACAAACACAAGATATTAGATTAATTACTGACATTGGAATGCTAGGTGGTTTATATGGGAGTTGAAAGCTACACACGCACCCATACCCCACCCTGTCCGTCCCCCCCCCCGCTCAAGAAAAAAAACCTAAACAAACAAAAAACCCCCACCCCCCAAACCCTTTAAAAGGTCCTGCAAGATGGCTCACACCAACAGTGGGGGAAGACTGAAGCACCTAGGCCTTCAAGAACTCAGTTTAGCCATACCTTACATTTTAATACACTAGGCAGAGACTCTTTAGATCAACGCTTTTTAAGACCCACCTTGCAACAACAATGAATGAAAACCAGAATCAATGCAACCTTCAAGCCCAATACAGAATCATTGCACGTTCTATACAATGCTCACCATGCTGTTACTAAGGTCTACTACTTTGCAACAAGCTTGCGATCTCTGCCAGAGTGCAGCTATTCAGACCAAGGCCTATGCTGGAGATCAAAAAATGGACAGCTATTTCAGAACTGCACTTCAATAGCACCTTCTGCACAGGTCTCAGTTTGCTCTGTGTAAAGTCGATTTTTCATTGCTATTTTGGCGAGACTAGGACAAAGGTTAAAATTTTCCCACAGTTAGAGTCAGAAACTGAGCCAAGAGCAGAATTCAGGACTTGTAACTGCAACTCCCTGTGCCCAGAATCAGAAAAATGCCCCTTGGCAAAACTGCGGACAGCAGCACACTGATGCAACGCACCAGCAAGTGGTTGGGAATCAACGACTATATTATCGGTATCAGTAGGGAACAGCACAAGTCTGGCTAAGGCGGCCCCTGGAACATGGCTACAGCCCATTATGTTAACCTGCCATGAGAGTTTGTCTGTTTGTTTTCCTCACGGCCAAATCTCCTGTTTAAGAAAACCCCTTCACCCTGGGGGTGCTGTAGAGACTTTGCCGCGGACGCTCGAGGAACAGCGACCTTGGCTACAGAGGGAAGCCCCCGGCACAAACACAGGCACTGCCGGCAGCCCCCACCGGCGCGGCGCGGCAGAGCAGCAGCCGCCCACTGACCGCCACGACCACTTACCCCGATGTGCTCAGCACAAAGTTCTCCTGCTTGACAGCTCCTCCTGAGCCGCTGGCGGGCAGGGTGAACCGCTGAGAGGCCTCCTGCCCAGGAGAGGACACAGTGAGTGCTGGAGCGTCCACTTGGTCCCAGCCCATCACAAGCCAGGAACAAAGACAAGGCAAGAGCAGAAACGCAGACTTCAGCAAGTGGCTGAACGTGGAGCGGTCACCTTGAAAGCCTCCCACAACCCGCCTAGCAGAGGACATGGATTTTCCTTCACCCTGCTGCAGGAGAGACGCAGCCCAGGAGAAGGCTCAGTGTGCGCAGCTCATGGCAAAAGGCGTTGGAAATCCCACGCTCCAGCTCCGCGCCCCAGAGCCGGGCAAGGCGGCCAGTGCCCAGCTGGCCAGGGTCGCCAAGCCGTCTGCAGCAGGAGCGACGCTCTGCACAGCCCAGCCCTGCATATCCTTGGGTGCCCTGGCATTGCCTCTTTCTCAGCGTGCTCTCGCTTCCCCGGGCTGCACAGCGCAAGTGCCGCTGGTCCTTTACCCATGTGGGAAGTCTGGAGTGAAAAATCAGCCCTCCTGACTGGTTACACTGGCTGGAGACTGTCCTTTAATCACACTTCACCCTTAAAACTATAACAAATTCTTCAAAACAGATACTATTTATACAGATACCGCAGGTTAGTCACCTGCTTCTGAGCCACGTCCTGGCTCAGCACTACGGCACTCCTACCTCCATGTTTTTGCCCCTGCTCTTGCATCACCCACTAACCCCCACCGAAACCTCAGAGCGCTAAGGGGCTGGGCCTGTTGAAAACTAACCTAGCAGGAGAGCAGTGAACTCTCGTGCACACAATCCCCTTTGGCCAGTTCACCACATGGCTGCCTGGAAAGAGCTGAACCCGGCAGCCCACGCTCAGGCTGGCGAAAGGTGCTGCAGGCCTGCTTCAGCTGAACACTTCATGCCTCGGAGAAGGGCAGGTACCAGCAGAAAAGTGGGTATATCGAGGGAAGGATGGTTTTGAATGAGGAGAGTGCATGCTACTAATTACTGCACAAGTAGTAGCTTGTCAGCTAAAGGCTATGGTGCTCGTTTCCACCATCACGTGACAGAGTTACAGGCAGATATAGATTCTCTGTTCCAGAAAATATTCACATCTCGGGCAAATGCCTGCAGACAGGTGTGGCTGCCTCCACATGCCATTTCAAAGCAGCTCTCTCAGCAAAGAGGGTCAAGAACAGAGCAATCTAAGGGACATCAGCTTTACTGTGAGTCCTCGAGACCAGAGGGCAAGCAAACACTTGGGACAGCACTGGACATGCATGATGGACCTTTCTGTGCACCCTCTACCAAGAATTTTTTCCTCCAGGGGAAATCTACCACCATTCCTCACGTGGGAGAGCAAACAAACCCACAGCACAGAAAACAGATGAAGCAAATTAACCTTACCTTCAAAATATCCTGCAGCTGTTTCAAAACAGCATGGACCTCTTCTTGTAAAAGCCATTTAAATTCTTCTTCCTACGTTGTGGAAAGATAGCAGTAGAATCATTAGAAGTCAAACACTAGAAATAAATCTGTCAGGCACATATGAAAATTATCTAAGTTCTAAGTATACTGCTATGTCCATGCTGTTTAAATCACATGCTAGTAGGAGAAGAAAAAGACTTCTTCCCAATTTCTTGAAAGGCCTTACTCTCCACTTCTCCGCCCCAGCCAAATGAATTTCCTCATTCTTGTTTTGACTTTGTTTAACAAAGCAGCATTCATACAAGTCACTGTATCAATAATCAGAGAATTAGGAAAGAACAGGCAGCACGGGATGTGAATTTCGGAGCAAAGGACAGATCTTGCTGCTTCAAATTCTGGGGCATCTTTTTAAGCTGCTGGGGTGGGCTGACCTTGGCTGGCTGGCTGCCAGACACCCACCCAGCCTCTCCCACTACCCTCCTCAACAGGATCGGGGGAGGAAACAAGATGAAAAGCTTGTGGGTGGAGATAAAGACAGGGAGATCCCTTACCATTTACCATCGCGGGCAAAACAGACTCAACTTGTGGACAAATTTGTTGCCAATTAGATGGTGAGAAACAAAAACAAAACCTAAAATCCTCCCCCCCCCCCCCCAGTGGCATTTTATGAAGCAACAGCAGCCTAAAAACAAAGCTAAACTGAAAAGTGGGTGGGGGGAAAGAAAGGCTGAGGACCCCCAGTCACTTGGGCAAATTCAGTAACAAGCAAGTTCAGATCTGACGACACACCGCCTCAGGCCTCAATCAGTTGTCTGCTACAGAGAAGCCTGTACAAAGCAGATCCTCAAACTACAGCCAAGCATTTCTGTCAAATCACAAGACCCCAAGCAGAGGATCATCAGAGAAGTGGGGACAGAAGCAAGCAAGGGACAAAGCAGAGATTGACACTTGCTACCTTGTAAGAAAGGAGACATTTTCCATAATGGAAGTACTGGAAGGGAATGAATTGAGCACGTTACCCACAGAAAAATTGGAAAGGTGTGGTCAACTCAGAAATTTATGCCTGTGGTTTCTCTGCTAGACAGTTCTTGATCACCGTGAGAAACACAAAATAACTACTCGCTGATGTGTCATCGCCTTATGCAACAGTTATCTCAACAAAGAGTAGGACAAGGACAGTTTTGTTTCAACAAACATTCACCCAAAGCAGGTACACACAGCAAACCTAGATAGGAGTCTGTTATCTGTACCAGTGTGGGTACAGGACCACTAACTTTCACCATTTAATTCTGTTTTGGGTTTCTGGGCATCATACCGACGTACTGGATTCCTTGCTCTTTTGTTCTCTGTAACACTCGCTCCCCTCCAGGTTCCCAAAGGAACAGAAATCACGTAGGTACAGCAGATGCCTTTAGTGCCTCCACCACCCCACTGTTCCCACGCAGACGTTTCTACTTCAAATCATCATTGGTGTCTTTCATCCCCCTAGTGACAGCAAAAGATCTCCCCCCACCCTGTATTAATTTCACACTAAGACAAGTGCGTTCACCATGTCTGTGCACTACGCATCTGTATTTTTGAGGAATGCTAGTCATATCACTCCAAATCGCACGACCTTTAGAAAAATGTGGTTTCCACACATGGCTCTCCACCTTGCCTGGATGCATCTCTAAAATTCCCCCCCCGGATAGGAAGTTTTCCCTGCTTCTCGCAGCTCACGTGCCCGGAGATGTCTGCAGCGTCAGCTGGTCTACGCCCTTCCCACCTTTACCAAGTCAACAAGGCTGCTTTGACGTGCCCGCCTGCCATTTGCTAGGTCTGCTCTTCCATCAAGCAGCGTGTTGGACCGACTATGAAAAACTCAAGGTCACCTAACCCATTTCACTGTTTACCGTAAGCAGGACCGCCGCCGGCGCGGACCTGCCTCCGGCCTCACCG